GCAGCTGCACCCCGGTCCACCCAAATATGGAACTCTTCCTCTTCCGACCTCCTCCTGACCATCCTCCTTACCACTAACGGCCACGCCACACTCTATTCCACAGAGAGCTGCCTTTCTCTTCCTCTCGACTTCTGGTCCAGTCTCCAGGACCAGTTCTCGCCTTTCCTCCCCGATGCCACCAGAACCCACCACTGTCACTTATTCCCTCTGCACTCCACTGCAGGCCTTTTTAAAAAAGAGTGTAAAGAATTCAACACTGCTTCCTTAGGAATGCCTTCCTGAGCCCCTCACTTACATCAGGTTCTCCAGCACATAACGATGCATGTATTCCACTTACAGCATTTCCCGCAACTGTACTTTTTTCTTTTTAACGTTTATTTATGAGAGAGAGAGAGACAGAGCACGAGCAGAGGAGGAGCAGAGACAGAGGGAGACACAAAATCCGAAGCAGGCTCCAGGCTCTGAGCTGTCAGCACGGAACCCGACGTGGGGCTCAAACTCACAAACCTTGAGATCATGACCTGAGCTGAAGTTGGACGCTTAACCGACTGAGCCACCCAGCTGCCCCACGACTGTACTTTCACATGTGCATGACCATCTGATTAATGCCTCGTTCCCCAACCATGAGATGCAACTGTCTACAACCACCAGCACATCCATCAAGTTTAAGAAACATTCAAAGAAATGAATCAAAGATGGAAATGTGGATTCTTCCCCATTGTTGCTACTATTGCTTCACGTACTGCTATATATATTTAACGAATGCAAATCAAGGAGAAAAACAGATTACCAGATACTTACATCCAACTTGAGTAACTTTTCAATCACAAGCTCTAGAATTTCATGCCTCAAGGTTGGAAAATATACACTAATCCTTAGCAAGTTATGAACATAACATTCCTAAAACATAAAAAGACAAAACGTTTCAACAGAGAATAAATGTTTCATAATTAGGTAAGCAAAACATCAATTACATGATCTTTAGTTTCTTTTTTTAAGTTTATTTATTTTGAGAGAGAGAGAGAGAGCGTAAGCAGGGGAAGGGCGGTGGGGGGGGGGGGGGGGGGGGGAGAGGGAGAAAGAGAGAGAATCCCAAGCAGGCTCCATGAAATCAGCACAGACCGACATGGGGTTTGAACCCACAAACCATGAGATCATGACCTGAGCCAAAACCAAGAGCCAGGCATTTTACTAACTGAGCTACCCAGCTACCCCACAACCTTCAGTTTCAATTAAACAGAAAAAAAATAGACTATCCAGCAACACAGAAACTATGCTGTTTATCTATACAATGTTCAGTATAATTAATCTAATCACCCCCAGTGAACTAAATTTGTGATCTGTACACTTCTACAAGTGTTTTCTTTAGAAAAGTTTGAGATAAAATTCATACACAAATCATCCATTTAAAATGTACAATTCAACACTTTTTAGCATATTCACTTGTGTAACTGTCCCCATAATCAATTTTAGAACATTCTCATCACCCTAAAAAAGAACACTGTATCTTTTGTCTAACGTGTATTTATTTGTGAGAGGGAAAAAGTGAGCGAGCACACGTGCAGGGGGAAGGGCAGAGAGGGAGGGGGACAGAGGATCTGAAGAGCATTCTGTGCTGACAGTAGACAGGGGCTTGAATTTACAAACCATGAGATCATGACCTGAGCTAAGGTCAGCTGCTTAAATGACTGAGCCACCCAGGTGCCCCAACACTGTATCTTTTAGTCATGTACCTCCTCCCAGCCCTAAGTAACCACTAGTCTACTTTCTATGGATTTGCCTATATTCTAGATATTTCACATCAGTAGAATCTTACACTATGTGGTGTTTTAGCATGCCTTCAAGGTTCACTCATTTTGTAGCAAGGAAACCACTCCGTTTTAGTGCCAAATAACATTCCACTGTATGGACATAATACAACACTTGTTTATTCATCAGCCCATAAACATTTGCTTATTTCTGTATTTTGGCTATGATGAATAATGCTGCTTTTGAATATTCACGTAAAGCTGTGTAGACACATGGTATCTTTCCTCTCGGACAGACACTTCTCAGCGGAAATGATGGGTCACGTGGCAATGTTTAACCTTTCTAAGCAACTGCCAAGATGGTTTTCCAAAGCAGTTCTACCACCTACTGTCTACACTCGCACCAGCAATGTGGTGAAGGTTCTGACTTCTCCCTGTCCTCACCACAACTTGTCACTGAGTATTGCCATCCTAGCGGGTATGAAAGGAGATCTCTTTACTAAAGGTTTCGACTTGTGTTTTCCTGACAGCCAGTGATTCACATGTTCACTGACCATTTGTACATGGATTCTGGAGAAATATCCATTCAGATCTTTTGCCCATTTTTAAATTGGGTTATTTGCCTTTTTATTATTGAAATACTAAGAATTCTTTATATATTCTATTTTAAGTTTATTTTCAGAGAAAGAGCAAACACCAGTAAGGGAGGGGCAGAGAGAGATGGAAAGAGAGAATCCCAAGCAGACTCTACACAGTCAGTGCAGAACCCCACTCTGGGCTCAAACTCACAATTCAAGAAATCATGACCTGAGCCGGAACCAAGAGCCAGACACTTAACCGACTGAGCCCCTCAGGCACCCCAACAGTTCATCGTATATTCTCGATATACTCCTTGATACAATACGTGATTTGCAAGCCCGCTGTTTGATTTTCACTTGCTTGAAGGTGTCCAATGAAAGAAACACAAATGTTTAATTTTAATCAAATCCAACTTGTCTGGTTTTCTGTGGCTGCTTGTGCTTCAGGCATCCTATCTAGAAACTGTTGCCCGATTTCAGGTCACAAAAATGTTCACCTATGTGTTCTTCTGAGAGCTGTTTTTAGCTTACATTTAGGTCTTTCGTTCGTTCTGTTTATGGGGGATCAGGGGGCTCTGCTCTACCCCATTCTTTGCATGTAGATTTCCACTTGTCCCACAACCATTTGTGGAAGAGATCATTCTTTTCCCCATTAAACTGCTTTGGACAAATGGCTTGTGTGTGTTGATATTACATTTTATAACTAAGCTGAACTCACTTTAGTTCTAATAGTGCTCATGAGGAACCTTTAGGATTTTTCTAAATGTTAAGATCATGTCATCACAAATAAAGACAGTTTTACTTCTTTCCAATCTGGATGCCTTTTCCCTTTCTTGCCTAGCTTCCCCTGCTAGAAGAACCTCCAGTCCACGCTGAACAAAAATGGCAAAAACAGGGGCTCCTGGGTGGCTCTGTCGGTTGAGCATGTGATTCTTGATTTCAGCTCAGGTCATGATATCACAGTTGATGGGTTCAAGCCCCGAGTTGGGCTCTGGTGTGGAGCATGCTTGGGATATTATCTCTCTCTCCACCCCACTCCCCTACCTCTCTGTCCCTCCCCCTCTCATGCTCTCACTCTCTCTCAAAATTAAACTTTGAGGCACCTGGGTGGCTCAGTCAGTCAAATGTCCAACTCTTGGTTTTGGCTCAGGTCATGATCTTACGGTTTCGTGAGCTTGAGCCCCACATGGGGCTCTGTGCTGCCAGCACAGAGACTGCTTAGGATTCTCTCTCTCCCTCTCTCTTTCTGCCCCTCCCCCCACCCTCACACTGTCTCTCTCTCTCTCTCTCAAAAATGAAAGTAAATAAATAAATAAGCAAAATTTTTTTAAAAAGGGGCAAAAGCAGACATCCTTGTTTTGTTCCTCATCATAAGGAAAAGCTTGCAATTGTTCACCATTGAGTGGGATATTACGTGTGAGTTTTTCATAGGTGCCCTTTCTCAGGCTGAAACAGTCCCCTTCTGTTTTTGTCATGAAAAGGTTTTAGTGTCTGTCAAATGCCTTTCTGCATCTGGTGAGATGATCATGTGGTCGCTATCATCTGTTCTATTGACATGGTCATTATATTAACTGATCTTAACAAATATTACATAAACCATGAATTCCTAGGATAAATTTCACATGGGCATAATGCATACTCCTTTTATGCTGCTAAACACAGTTTTCTACTGTTGAGAATTTATCTATATTAGTAAGAGATGCAAGGTTTATAATATTCCACTTGAAAGTGACTATCACAAGCATTAGCAAAATTTATTAACTCCTTATTTAATACTTAGAAGACTATTTTTGACAGAGAGAGCATGTGTGCACGTGCACATGTGAGCAGGGGAGGGAGAAAGAAAATCTCAAGCAGTCTCCGTGCTTAGCGTGGGGCCCCACTCAGGGCTCGATCTCATGACCACAAGATCATGACCTGAGCCACAAATCAAAAAGTCAGACATTTAACCAACTGAGCCACCCAGGCATCCCTTATAATACCTTATTTAGAAAACAATAAGCTATGCTTAGAAGGAAACCATTATTCATTACTGAAAACCATAGGTCATCTAAATATTACACAAAAACTTAAAAATTCATCCATAGAAAGTTCTGCCTTTATGTTCAAATAAGGCATGTTTATAACTGGTAATACATAAACTATTACCTTCTAGTAATTGTTATGTGTATAATCATTAAGCCTATCCAGATATTTCTGAAACAGACTCTGCCCTTGACTTGCGTCAGGGAAAAAGGCACTGGGGATCCACAGTCAGTTCCTAAGAAAGGAATTTGAGTCAGGTTCTTAGTCTTGCGTTTAATGTATAAGACAACTGGTAAGAAAAACACATAACATCACCTAAAAGTAACTTACAACTTTTCCGTTATTTCTCCCATGAAAAGATTTCTTACCAAGGTTCTCTCGGATTTTCGAACAAATGGAAATTTTTCCACCAATATTGGCATAAGAAACCACGGTGTCCTAAAAAAACAAAAGGAAATCAACCAATCCATGTTAACTGGGCTTTCTTGGAAGGTAACGTTTCCGTTCTAAGAGCAAATATGGAGGCAAAAGGTAAATGGTAATCAACTATCTCAAGTAACTGGAACCTAAATGCATAGCTTCAGAGAAAACCTATGATAACTTAGGGGAATATAACCTTCCATCAACTTTGGTATCAATAGCAAGTTAAAGGGGGATTCTTAGTTCTAAAAAAGCAATAGAGTTTCAGTTTAAAACTTAAAACGTTTCCCACTGCGTGTCCATGTATTACTTTAAAAACAAGAAAAAATTGTCAACTTAGGTAATTTTTAAGTTAGTAAATAATAAACTTACAAAGGGAACTTGAAGTCCACTCCCCCCAAAAGAAACTTAAGCTTCTCTTAAAACTGTAATTTTTTGGGGCGCCTGGGTGGCGCAGTCGGTTAAGCGTCCGACTTCAGCCAGGTCACGATCTCACGGTCCGTGAGTTCGAGCCCCGCGTCGGGCTCTGGGCTGATGGCTCAGAGCCTGGAGCCTGTTTCCGATTCTGTGTCTCCCTCTCTCTCTGCCCCTCCCCCGTTCATGCTGTGTCTCTCTCTGTCCCAAAAATAAATAAACGTTGAGAAAAAAAACAAAAAAAACAAAAAAAACAAAAAAAAAACCCTGTAATTTTAAAAAAATTAGTATGTAACGAACAATACTGGAATTGCAATTTTTATTTATATGGCATGACACGGGGATTGCTCACTGAAAATTTTTGGACATAGTATCTGTTGAAGATAAAAGCAGAATTTCAACGACCACTATACAAACTTTGGAAGAGAGTCTGCGTACAAGTTTTAAATAATTTAAATAATACTAATTAAGTTACTAATTCTTAAATAATTTAAACAACTAAAGACAACGAAGAGAACTATAATGCCATTTTTTTGTAGAATGTGATGTTGACAAAGCCTACAGAAACATGTAGCATACAACCTGAGCTTTGATGCTATGAACATAGTAATTTTCTACTAATTGGTTATCATTTTCTTGAGACTTCAAGACCATGATTCAAAAAAAAATTAACAGGATACTCACGATGGGACATATCTTGCTATTATTTGCAAGGCTCTGTGACAGGTGTCAAAAGTGGCAGGAAGATCTACAAGTAGAAAAGTAAGAGTATGAGCATAACAATAAAACTGAAACCTGAGAAGTTACAAAATTTTTTTTAAGTTTATGTATTTACTTTGGGGGGCGGGGAGGGGACGGGCAGAGGGAGAGGGAGAGATAGAATCCCAAGCAGGCTCCGCACTGTCAGCGTGGAGCCCGATGTGGGGCTCAAACTCATGAACCATGAGATCATGACCTGAGCTGAAACCCAAGAGTCGGATGCCCAACCGACTGAGCCACCCAGGCGTCCCCAAAAGTTACGTATTTTAAGCTAAAAACACCCGCTAACCAAAACTGAATCATTTACTAGCGAAATGTTAACTTGGAAGGTTTTTCTCTAACACCAACTATCACTGCAGACTAAGTGGATTAGTTAAATAAGTAATGCACTGAGGGCAGCTGATCAGACGTTCTTGCTGAAGGTCACAAAAAAATTCCATCGGAGGTCGCCATTTGCTGCTGCCTACCCATTAGAACAGCTCCTGGCCAGGGCGCCTGGGTGGCTCAGTCAGTTGAGCGTCCGACTTCAGCTCAGGTCACGATCTCGCAGTCCGTGAGTTCGAGCCCCAAGTCAGGCTCTGGGCTGATGGCCCAGAGCCTGGAGCCTGCTTCCGATTCTGTGTCTCCCTCTCTCTCTGCCCCTCCCCCGTTCATGCTCTCTCTCTGTCTCAAAAATAAATAAATGTTAAAAAAAAAAATTAAAAAAAAAAAAGAACAGCTCCTGGCCTCACCCAGTGCTTTAACATTGAGCACGCATTCTCTAAGACACAGGCAGGTCCCTTGCTTTAATCTTCTTTATACTTACTATCATCTTCGTCATCGGAATCCGAAACATCTATGTCACCTTCTTTAATGACCACTCGTGCTTTGTGAGGGAAAAACAAAATACGTTATTCTTTTTGTCACTGACCTAAACGATCAACAGCTACACAAGAAAGTGATTTTTTCCACTGTGCAAACTTAGTACAATAATTAAATTTACAGCCAAAAAAAAAAAAGTCAAGTAACTTTACAGTTAAAGCTAAAATTTCTGAGTTCTAAGATTCCATTAGAATCTCATTAAGGTAAATTCCAACCCATAAAACAAACAAACAAAAACACAGCAACAAATCCAGATGCTTCTACAGACATCATTATAGAGAACAGACATGCACCAAAACTGCTAAAATGCAGCTCAGAATTTTCCATGTTGGCACAATCCCCACAGTGTTCCAAGAAGTATTTTAGTAATGGGGTACTTAAAAAATGAACAATCAAAGAAAGCAAAGAACCACTTACGAGGTACAAAATGAGAAACAATCATGCTGAGACACGGTCTAAGGAAGACAGTCTGTGCTGATACAAGATTACCAAGAAAAGCCAAATACTCCTCCACCACCGTCTGACTTCTGTTTAACCACTGCAATCTCTAGAGGTGGGAGGAAGAGAAAGATAAAAGAAACATGTTACTGATACAACATATTGTTTCCAGAGTATTGAAATCACATACTAGTCAATAAAATAAATGGTAAACTTACCAATAAAATATTGATAAGCTGCTCAAAGTCTTTAGTCAAGTACATGATGGAAGAACGGAATTCTAACAGCCAGTTAATGATTTGGTCATCCTTAAGGCAAACAAAGAAAAGCGCTTTCAAAATCACAAATCCTCTAAAATAACTGGAGGTAATACCTACCTTGCACCAGACATCTACCAATAGTATTTAAATTAGGAGAAAAAAGTCACAAACTTGCACTAAAGCCAAAACTGGAATGAAAATGTCTTAATTTGTATCAAAACAAAAGAACGTTACATTTTCTGATTTTAAAAAGTAACACAGGGATGCATTCGTGGCTCAGTCAGATAAGTGTCTGGCTCTTGATTTCAGCTCAGGTCATGATCTCACGGTTTGTGGGATCGAGCCCCCTGTTGATTCTGTGCTGACAGCATGGAGCCTGCTTGAGATTCTCTCTCACCCTCTCTCTCTACCCCTCCCCTACCTGCGCACAC